ACTACCTATCCCGATGCAGTACTTTCTAATAATACTTTTTCTAGTGTCTGTATCTTCTTCATTTGTAATTTGCGCAAATTTCCATTCATGTGGGGGATTGTTGGAAACGAAGGCATTAAAAATATAAACTTTGGATGAGAATTGGAATAGATTCCGCTAAGAATTTTTTACGGATCTATAGACTAGCGCGTTCCTCTTCGCAATGAGATGAATGTGGTATATTTACTTTCTCAAATCCGTTTCCGGGTGAATGAGAAATTAGATCCAAAGTGAGGTGTTTGAAAAGCCTAAATGGAAAAATTGTTGAAACCAATTGAAGTTTAAATAAGTCAAGCTTGGGCTTGGATTTGGGCTTGGGCCTGGGCCTAATTATAAAGTTCGGGTTATTCCTTTTATTAAATAGAATTTTGGATTGGGCCTATTTTTGGGCTGGGCTTATTTAAATGGGTTTCACAAATGGGTGGATTTTTTGGGTGGTTGGTTTTTTGAATTAAAAAACTACTTTTTAGTTTTTCTAAAATGTTACACCTTTTAAATTAAAAAACCATATTTTAGTTTTTCTAAAGGGTTACACCTTTTAAATTAAAAAATCACTTTTTAGTTTTTTCAAAGAGTTACACCTTTTTCCGAACCATCATAACCCATGGTTGCACCCACCCGAAAAGGCACCTGGATATCTATAAATACTCCCCTTTGGATCATTTGCAAAACACACCAAATTCAGAGAATTCTTCTCTTCTTCTGAATTTTCTTCTTCTTCCTTCTCTCTTTAGTCTGTGGGTTCGAGCCTTAGTAATTGGGTTCGAGCCTTAGTCAATCACTCCGAGTCCGAGCTCGAGTCAGAGAGTACTACACCGAGCCGGTTCGCCTATTCCTTTGGTTTGCAGTGCTACTACCGAAAGAAGACAAGTCGTTGTATCCTGCGAGATAGACGCCACTGAATCCGTAAGCACCATATCGGGGCGAATCTGTCTTAAGGACATAGAATCAAATTCTAGCCTCGACTTTTAATCAGGTTCCTTTATTTATAATTTTTATTTTATTTTATTAAACTATACATTATAAGTAATTATATATATAGATTATTATTTTATAATATTTATATATATAAGCATTATATTATTTTATATTTACAGATAATATTTAAATAAATAATACTATAGTATATGGTATACTTAGACCATATTTTGGACAACATCTTCCTCAAAAAAATATAGACTCATGGTCTAAGAAACCCAATATAATATCAAAACATGTCTTCTAGGCAATATAATTTTAACCATTCAATGGTTCAATCCCTATGAGCAATCTTTAAATTGCGGAAGCGTCTATAACCAGAATAAATGTTATACTGAATAACACCACATAATCAACATATCAAACAATATGTCATAGCTTTAGGGATTATTACTTTAATTCGTGCTTGGAGTTTTAAGCCGAATTTCTCAGGGTGTTTTACTATGCGCAAAACTGTCCACCCTGCGGGAATAGATAAAATGCCATCTAAAAATCACCTTTTGGCAGAATTTTAGATTTTACTTTACCTCCCAAACATGCGATAAAATCTACATAGACCTATTTGATTATACTTGCATTATTGCTAAACACTTCCACTACCTTTTGGCAAAAGGGTTATTTAGTTATAATCCAAACACTCTCAAATATTCTACTCACTTATCCCACACTAAGACATTGATCACCTTTTGGCAGAACAAACGTCCTTATGTAAGTAAGTGCACTGTAAGACCTCAATAAGACCAATGCCTTAAAATTTAATAAAATAATAATCTCTATGAGCGTGTCACCTTTTGGCAGACAACACCCGCTTTAGCTATCATCTTTGAAACGGTCACTTTACCGGTCTTCCTAAACTCTAAAGAAAAACCTAAACTGAAGTTCCATTTATTTCAGTTAAACAATTTCTTTATAATGTACATAAACTAAACCCAAATATTATGGAATACTTAATTTCACCGTAATATAAATGGCTTTAATACAAATAAAACAAAGCCCCCTCATACATCTTAAGAAATTACAGTGAACAATATAATAATAACATGCACTTCAATCGAGATTTAAAAAAAATTTCAATTCTTTATATACTTTAATTAAAAGAAATCTTAAAACATGATGCATGCATATTATATTTCCGATAAATAATTTTAAAAAAAATACTTAAATCTTTAAATCAATTATGACACACCCCAACCACACTTATTACAGGCGGTGGAATAACTTCTAGAGAAAATTTATCATATATATTATCTGCCTATATACCAAAACTTGTCCAAGTACCTTGATGAGGTGCAGAACCAAACATATCTATATTTTAGTACTTGACACTTGTCCCACTAATTCAAATCATAATGGATGCCAAAAGAAACTTGAATATATATATATATATCATTTATTTGAATATATTATGAAGATAAGTCTTTTGAAAGTGTCCAACACTATCTTATAAAGTTCAGTCACAATTATACACGCTTTATGGTAACAAACCAACCATACAAACTTTCTTTACATACCCATTTCGTTCGGCGTGCACAAAAATTTGCATACAAACTGATTGCATACAAACAAAAAAAAAATACTTGAAACTTTTCCATATAAAATTTGAGTGCTAAAAAAACAAGTCACAAATCTTTAAATCACAAGTTCACACCACTGACACTATTTCCGGAATGGGAATTCCGGTATTCATATCATGAATTGTGACAGTAATTTCGTGACCAAATCTCAACACAAAATAGGCTAAAATATAGGTAAAATAATGCACGAAAAAACTCATTAACTTTTGTTTTGTTAAAGCCTGCTCTTGATTTCCATGTGTTCTGATGGCAAGTGCTTCGACAGTATTATTAACTGAAATTTTAGGTGAGCCAACTTCAATAAAGGTGGTATTTATCTTCATATAAAATATAATATAAAATAAAACCCTTAATTTTATTTATTTATTTTTGCACTGCCATAGATTATGGACTCCCATGAAAGACACATGTAGAAAAGGCACCTTAATATATATTCATTCAGCTTTTGATAGCCATCACACACAGTGACGCGCCCACGCAGAAAAACAAAACAAGACAAGGCACCTTAATATATATATTCATTCGGCTTTTGATATCCATCAAACACAGTGACACGCGCGCACACACAGAAAAACAAAACCCCTGCTTTGGGAGCTACTTTTCCCTATTGGAACAAAGGTAAAGGCCGTCGGGCTATTTCGACTCCTTACAAGCAAGACTCATGTACACAATTTGCGATCAAATATATATTTATATATTTATTATATTTTTAATTTAAAATAATATATAATATGTATTCAATTCATTGATCTTGATTTTTATAAGAAAATTCTGATACCAATTGTTGAGTTTAAATAAATAATTCATATGTAGAAATTAAAAATATTACAATTAATTAAATAGGTAATCTAGACTCGTACCCGATTGATGATTAACGCACATATACCTTTGAGAATTCCTTATGGCCCTTTGAAAGATCTGAAAAAAAATAGAACGTTTTACCCCCTTTTAAAAGTTGTCGATACAATAGGACTGAATAAGGGTTTTAAAACCCCTATATATAACAACAATGACGAGGGACGACTTCTCTAGAAACAAACATATCTAAGTCTCCTTTCCTATCATGAAAACTTAGATATCAATAGTTAGAATTAATCACATCCAATAAATTGGAAAATCACAATCCAACGGTATAAAACCATACTCCCAATTAGACCACCAAATTGAAAAGTACAACCCAATTTATTAAGTATCAATAATCACATTGCAATCCTAATTTAAAAAACGTAGTACATAGGACCATAAAATAATTTTATAATTTAAATATATATATAAAATTCCTGAAACATTTTAATGACGTTGTGGTCTAAAATTGGAACATGGTTTGGTGAACAGTATGAGTAAGAGTGGGGACAGTTTGTTTATTCGTTTGTTTATATATATATATATATATTATTGGTGCACTAATTATATTAAAAGAGATCATGATAAGAAAAATAAGAAAGTTGCTTATAGTGATATGATATTCTTGATGTATGTTGATAATGTTCTTGCTAACAATTTTTTTTCGCGTGTAATAAAATTTAATAAATTTAAAACATTGAACAAGGTTGGTTGTTATAATTTAGATGATCAGAAAAAGGAGTCTCACAGCACGGAGGTTTCAGTCTTTGTCCCTTAAAGTGTCCAGGTCTTGGTCTTTGTCCCTTAAATCATAAATGGTCCTGGTCTCTCCCTTCTTTCTTTAAAGCTAAAAGAAAATATTCTACTTGTGAACTTTATTTGGTGAGTAATTTATACTGAAGCTTCCTTAATATATACTCTCTTTATTTGTTAAATTACATTGATTTTTTTTTGTCAGTGGGAATGACATTAACAATTTTTGTGTAATTATGTTTTTGTCCTTATATATTATATTATATTATATTATATTACAAATTATTATGTTTTTGAAGGGTAAAATTAAAATTTAAAAGTTACAAAATTGTTGACATCAATACTTTTTTTCGTTGACGGTTAACAAAGAGAAAGTATTTGTTATTCATGTACAAATATTAAAGAAAAATATAATTTGACAAATAAAAAGGAAGATCTATATATATTAAGGAAATTTCAAGAATGGTAAGGTTGTGTATGGTTTTGGAATTGGTGAAATTTTGAAAAAAATTTGATTCAATTATTTAAGTCTGCTTCTTTCTTTCACAAATTTCAATTTCAATTTCAATTTCATGCCAAACATAATCTAAGTGTAATTTATCCTTTTTCTAATTTGTTATTGTAACACCCATGTAGCACGTGTTTTTGAGTGTGAACTCGGGTTTTATTATTTTTTCCTGAAAGTTAGTGGGAACTCGGGGTTTTGCTGGGGCAATCAGAAAGGTTCGTGAACTTGGGGTTCGGGAATCTTTTTGACTGCTTTATGGTCTTTCGTTATTGCTAAATTTGCATTGGTGTGATGGTCACTTTCTAGTTTCTACGCCAAAGTCTTTCCAAGTGATCGCCCCCATACACACACACACACACACACACACACACACACACATATATATATGTCATACATTGGTTATATATATATATATCATCATCATCATCATCATCATCAAGCAAAAAGTGGTATACTACTATAACTTCCTTTGTTCAGTCCTTCGTTGGTGCCATACAAATATATATATACATATATTAGAATGAGAAACAAAACTTGTTCCACCTATTCTTGTCTCACCATATGTTGTTTATTCATGATTTGGCTCATCATGGTTTCACCTGTACTCTCTGCGCGGAAATTATCCACCACTCCCAGCAGCCGTAAGTACTCTCTCTCTCTCTCTCTCCTCTCATGCTCTCTCTCTCTCTCTCACACACACACACACACACATTCATATTCATTCATTTTGTTCACTGTATGAGTTTCGCAGACGGAGAGAGTCATATTCCTGCAGGCAAAAACCATCATGACCATGCCGAATCTGCTATACCATCAGGACCAAAAGTGTCAAAATCACCTACCAGAAGTACTAAAGTTGCAAGCCAAACCACTGTGGGGCCGTCCTGTGGACGAGGGAAATCATATGGGACTTGCCAACCAGGAAAAAACGTCGTTAGACGCTGTCCGCCGTTTCAAAAGTGCGGACTGGGAAACTGAAACAAGCAAAGCAACTAGTTCAAATGTATGTGGTGGAGATATATATATATATATATATTAGTGGTTCTTTGTAATATTTCACATCCTAATAAAAAGTTACTCCTTATGTGTTGCTTCATCTGTCCAAGATTAAATTTTTTATTTCTTTTCCCGGATTCTAATTTTTTAAGGAGGGGAAAGGGAATTATAATTCGTATCTCTTATTGAATTTAAATATCTTACCTACAGACTATAAATATCTACATTATGAATTCCAACACTAATTTTGGATTGGAAAGTAACAATTTTTTCACATTGAATATTTTCTATATGTAAGGCTTTTTTTGTGACAAGGGCCGTTTCAAAGCCTTCTACTTTTCCGGGTTCATTTGATAACCGATTGTATAGATATTTATTATTATTATCATTTCAAAAGTTAAGGCAAACCCACATGTATCTTTGCCCCCCACCAGGGCGGGAAAAGTCAACCTCTCTAAAGGGCAGCAGATCTATACCATCCCATTGGTGATGATATTGTAGCTATATAATTATTCGGAAAAAGTTTGCCTTTGGCCATATAAGTAGGCATTTCCTTCTTATGTTGATATGGACCAGCAATTGTATGACATGTGTCAAAAAAAAAAATTAAAAAAATTAAACTTAAATTATGCGGATCTTTTCACGGATCATCCAAAAGAAAAGAGGATTTTTTATTTTTTTTAATTTGTTTGAGATTTTCTCTCACACGCGATAAATCTCTCTCTCTCTCAGTCACGATTCCTTCTCTCTTCCCACCAAATCGCCATTGATAACCACCATAAATGGTTTTATGTTGTTTCAGTTTTTATCTAATAGTTGAAGAAGGAAAACTCCTTTTTTCTAAAGGGAAAGAACCTAGAAAAGAATGAAAAAAAAAAAAAACCTGCTACTCCACAATGCAAACCCTTGCTTTTCTATTGCGTTTGTTTATTTATGTTCCACAACTTTATGATCATTTATGTTTTAGTGAAAAGAATAGAAATCTAACATAAAATCACAAAAATAATCGAAATGAAAGGAGAGCGCAAAGAACTATAGATTAACTGATTAAGGATTAATTCATGCTTTAAATGGTTTTATATTGTTTCAGGTTATTTTGTTTCCAGAACTAATTAATAGCGAAGAGAATAGAAAAAATCACAAATACTTTTTCTTTATCTAATAGTTCAAGAAGGAAAACTCCTTTTTCTATAGGGAAAGAACCTAAATAAAAATGGTAAAATCACAAAAATTCCTCCTTTATCTAATCTCTCAAGAACTTTTTTTAAGGGGGAAAAACCTAAATAATAATGAAAAAAATGCTACTCCACAATACAAACCCTACTCGGTTTAAGCTATTAGAAAAATAAAATTACAAATGTGCTAATATAATAGTTGAACATACCTGCTTCAAGAATCAATCCGGTCTAAATGCAAAATGTTAGGGTTTTGGCAAGAAGTGGAGAGGCAGTGGAGGTGGTGGAGGTCGGCTGGCAGAAGAGATGATGATATTAGAGCTTCAGAATTAGGGAGATGGTGGTTATCAATGGCAATTTGGTGGGAAGAGAGAAGGAATCGTGACTGAGAGAGGGAGAGGTCTATCCAGACTCATGCATGTGAGAGAATCTGAAACAAATAAAAAAATCCTCTTTTCTTTTGGATGATCCGTGAAAAGATCCGTATAATTCAAATTTAATTTTTTAAATTTTTTTGGACACATGTCATGCAATTGTTGGTCCATATCAGCATAAGAAGGAGATGCCTACTTATATGGCCTAAGGCAAGCTTTTTCCCATTCCCAATTGTCTTCTCAACTTTAAATTGGTATTATTATCCTTTTACTTGTTAGTTTACTATTTGAATCATGAATTATATTTTTTAACTTTTACAAATTATTTTATTGGACCAAACTAAGCTTTAGTACTCTTTGCTTCAACTTTATTAACCAAACTATACATACAAGATACATTGGTCTTCCATTTTTGGCTAATATGTGAACTTGGGGCTCGGAGGCCTTTCAAAATTCGGGGATCTTTTTGACTGCTTTTTGGTCTTTCTTTATTGCTAAATTTGCATTGGTGTGATGGTCACTTTCTAGTTTCTACGCCAAAGTCTTTCTAAGTGATCGCCTCCTTACATATATATATATAAGTCATACATTGGTTATATATATATATATATATATATATATAATCAAGTAGTAGACTACTATAACTTCCTCACACCAAAATATATATATACACTACTGTAGTACATAAATCAAGTAGTACACTACTATAACTTCCTCACACCAAAATATATATATACACTACTGTAGTACATATATATATATATATATATATATATATATGGTTTTAGTGTAAAAAAAATTCCTCTACTATTGATATAGTGCATATCAGTCCTGTGTGGTAAAAAATCCCCCTATACTATTAATTTGGTGCGAACAGGTCCCTGGTGGTGTAAAATGACAATAATACTTTCATTTTAGTTGAATAAATTAATGATTATAAATATCGGCCATGTAAAATGACCCTTTTGTCCAAATTTGTATAAAATGGGGTTTGTTTGGTAGAAGGATAATATAAACCTCAAATTGTATAAAATTGGGATAACCTAAACCTGAATATAATTAAATCTAAAACCAAACATGCCCTTTCATATTTTAAAATATAATAAATTTGTCATATATATATATATATATATATATATATATAGGGGGGGGGGAGACAAGTTCAGAGTTGAGAACAAGAACAGCCATGGAGGCGGACCCTAAAACCCATAGATTTGCCCTAATGATATATGGTGCACATATATATATGTGCACCATATATCTTTAGGGCAAACCCATACACCCATAGATTTGCCCTAATGATATATGGTGCACATATACAAGTTCAGAGTTGAGAACAAGAACAGCCATGGAGGCGGATCCTAAAACCCATAGATTTGCCAAGGGCGTGACAGAATGCTACCGGAGTGACGGCTGCCAAGAGTTCCTCATATATTGGCTGGGCATGGATTCACATTTAACAGTCAAATAAACTATGCAAAGTAAAATGTGCATCACACAAGAAGTAATGGCAAGTGCAGAAGATGAAACTCACTGCGCGTTTTGGAAGACCGACACCCCAACTGACAAGACAGTACACCACGCCAACCAGAAGATGTACAACCGAGACAAAGCTGCAAAAGGGGGAAAGGTTCTTCTGATTATCACAAATCGGTAACAATGAGTGTGTTTAAAGAGGTTAAACTCTTTCAGCAAAGATAACTTACTATGGATATGGGAAATAATAATAGACCTTCTTGTTGAAGATGATATTTAGGAAGTACCTGAACAGAAAAACACTAAAGAATCAGCAAACAAGTTCATACACAACAATTTAGCGCGTGTTTGTGCCACATACACGTGCGCGCGTGCATCTGAATGTCTAAATGAAATATATTCATGTCAACAAATAACATATACAATCTCACAGAGTATACTCTTCAAGAGAAAGAATTAGAGAAGTTTAAAATCTGCTCCATATTACTCAAAACCATGTTTACAATGGCATATATTCCAATATATGCTATATAGAATGTGGATGTGTCTAATTGTTGTATTCACTATCTTCAAGCATAAGGACACATGAACTAAACTATATATCTGTACCTTGAACTTATTTTAAAAAAAGATAATTTAAAAGGAGACAATTTTATGACCAAAATCATATGATAGACCTAAATTATCAATACGCTTCCTCGTTGGAATTGGAAAATCCCAAAACCTATACTTAAATGTCATGTGTTCAAAATGGTACTTCTAACATTTCACTGGTATAGAATTGATGAAACAAATATTTCAATTAAAAACAAATGCATCCAACAATTACCACTATGTTTTTTTTTTATTTTTTATTTTTTTATTCCAATAAATTTGTTCCGATTATATAGGATGTTCGGAAAGGACACTATTACTTAAATTTAGCATACAATTATCTAATTGAGTAATTGAGACACATACATGATGAAGATTGGACAATCAACACATGAAAAAGAGCTTACCAAGTAAAGAAAAAGAAGCCAGTAACTAGGGTCAGGGCCGGAAATTTCTCAGCAAAGCTCTTAGAAGGCTTGGAGACCCTGCAATTACAATAATGGTTATCAAACATATATATATATATATATATATATTGAAAAATAACAACAAAAATATTTAGAAAAAAAAAAAAAAAACAAATACAGAGTTGCATAAGCTACCCATCAGTAATGTCAATTTCAAGACCACCAACATCCACAGCTAAATTAGGCGAAGCAGCTCTACTCAGAGAAGAAAATCGAGAACGATTGAGTAAAAGCTGAGTTGAATTGGTGATCGAAGCCATCTTAAGCGAAACAAAGAAAAATCAAACTGTGCGTGTGTGTGTACATATATATAGTTATATATGAACTACTACATAGCTAAAATTATGGAGAATTGAATTGGAAGAAGATGGATTGTATAATTTGTATTGATTTTTGGGCAGTGAAGCAAACAAAAAACTTTGAATTTTTACGTTGAAATCGAGGAATTATGAAGAAAAAAAAATTAAGCGGAGAATTAATAGTATACAATTACCCCTATTCTCATAAAAATGAAATCGGCACTTTTCGAACAGGGCCCAGTCGAGAAAAAACAAAAGAACAGGGCCCAGTAGTAAGTAGGATTAACTGAAAGTTGTGAACCGAGTCCAAGTTCAGCCCAACCCAAATTAGGCCTGGCTCAGCAACCCAATGCCATAAACCACTTTTGCTTTTAGGTTGCATTGCAGTTTGGATCAAACGCCTTAAAACCCTAGAAAACCTACCAAATTGGAGCCTCTTTGAATTTTCGATTCAACTTTGGTGCATTATATAATCTCATATGTATATCACTATACACTAGAATAATTTTTGTGTGTCACCAAATAAATCTATAAATAAATATATTTGTATAGAAGAGTCTGTGAGGGCAATGGAGGGTGGTATAGGCAAAGAAGAGGAACAAGACGGTATGTCTGTACATTCTCCTTGCAAAGCTCCTCCTTCCTCTGCATCTTCTCTCCGCAAGGTCACCTCTCTCTTTCTCTCTCTCTCTCTCTCACACACACACAAACACACACATGTATAAATATATATTCGAATTTGGGTTTTACATAAGCTGATTGTTTTTCACGTCGTTTCTTATTGGGCAATTAGGAGCAATCACAGGTTGAATTGGAGCTTAGATTGTTAGAAGCTCTTGAAATTTATCCTCCTGCCAAGTTAAAAGGCAAGTTCACCAATTTCCACTTTAATACTCTCTCTCTCTCCAAAATCACAGGTCGCATTTTAAAGTAGATTTTGTTAAAAAAAAAAAAAAAAAAATGTATCTGAAACATTTTAATGACGTTGTGGTCTAAAATTGGAACATGGGTTGGTGAACAGTATGAGTAGGAGTGGGGACAGTTTGTTTATATATATATATATATATATATAACAAAATAATTTATTATTTGTGCACTAATTGCTTTTCTGCTGGTTGTTTTAATTAGAACTTTTAAAAGCATATTTAAGTGATTAGGGATTAATAAGTTACCAAAAACTGCTTTGAGACCTTGTTGAATGCATTAAAATAAAAATTATTTATTATTTTTTTTTGAAAAAATGTATGGTTGTTCAAAGAATCTCTGAAAAATAGGATATTTAGTCCCATTAATGATGTTCATGATTATGGTTAGTTTTTCCCAAGCTGATTAAGATGTTTGCATAAACATATATTGATGGCCAGTTGTGCCAAAATAGGTTGATTTGTGTTGAACTTGGTGCACTTCTGCTTCATTTCATGATTTTGCTAATACTTTTGCAATAGGATGTTATTGTATTCAGTTATGCAAGTAATAACCAACTTCAGTCAAATGTTTGCATTTCTAGTTTTACAATAAATTCAACTTAATAGAATTGTGACTATGGTCATACTAGATGAATCGCAATTGCATATCTTGAGACAATAAGAAAAGCTTTAGAAGATTATAGGATGCACATGGATAATAAGCCTATTGGTATTACCGGTTGTAGGTGTCAAGCACGCGATGCCCATGTGGCCACACTCTCAGGGTTGAAAAGTCAAACAGCAAATCACCTATATGGCCAACTCAAATCCTCGGTACCTGTTGATGCATTTGCTATTATTCGTGTTTAATTTCTTTTGAGTGACTTGAGCACGGTACTTAGGCATTTGTTTGAGGCTCTAGTTAGCATTTCAATTTGTATGAGGAATTAATTGCTAACAAAGTTGTAGCATGTCCTTACCGGGAAAAAAAATAGGCAGGTACTTACCCACAAAAAAAGTAGTGGCATAGAGGTCCATCTAGGGTTTCTTGTCTCTGGCGGGTGGCACTTTCGGAAGAAAAGATGCATGTTGAGTTTCTTTTTATTCATGATATTACTCTTTTCATTAACCACATTATTTTTGAAGAAGGATAATCATTTAAGAAGGTTCAATATGCTGCAAGAAAGGCGTGGGGGTTGGTTCTTCTTTGGAATTGATGTAACATTACGTGGACTATAGTTAGAAATGGTACTCTTTTAGAGGGCTGTTTAATTGAGAAGCAGCCATGAGAACTTTGAGTGGTGCAGTTTATATTGCTTCACTAAAATTGGTCCTTCTAGGCTTCTAGCAGCACCAAAGGTTGTTGTGGTCCGTGGACTCGGGTATAGAATTTTCTTGTAACCTAGTATATAACTGCATTTAGGTTCGGGTGTGTAACAAGAGAACACTGAAACATGCAGGAAAAAGAGCAAGAGAGAGAGCTAGAGTTTGGGGCTGAAACTTGTAATTTCTTATTTTTCTGATAGGGAAATCTTTGTGCGGATCTTCACCGGTGACGAAGGCTTTTCCGAAGCACGTAAATCTTTTTGTTCTGTGTGTGGCGTGTTTACTTTTCTTTCATGATTCTTGATTTGTACTTGGTTCGTGGCGTTTGTCATAACAGTTGTCTCCTAGTTGGGTAATATTTTCTCTTAATACCAAAGGTACAAGTGATCAAGGAGTCTCGACAGAATTGTAAAAGAAATCATTAAAGTTCATACCATGGTGCCTCATGAAAGTAGGAAAAAGAAAGACTTTTCTGTCCTTCTTCGTAGTGGTCATTGTATAGTGCTAAGAAAAGTCCCACCTGTGGCGTTGAAAGCCCCTACCTATCCTTTGAGTGCTATGTATGAGTTAAAGACCCAAGGAAAGACCTATCAATGAAAAATGCGGTCTAATAGCGACGCAGACCTTCTTTCTTTTTATTAGTCGGGAGGAAGTCACGCTTCTCCATTTCCATTTTTACCCCATGTCATAAGATACGAACCCTGCCATTTATCATTTACACCATTGTACATTTATTATGGATAACTCGTGCCAAGTTAATGAAGTTCAGAAAAAGGAAAATTGTCACATTAATGGAAAATATATGAGCACTGAAATCTTTGAAGCAATTGGAGATATCTCCAGTATTAATGCTTGTAACATAACAAAATGCAACATGATGCATTGCTTTTTATTATCTTTGTCCAACTTCAGTTTATGAATAATTGTATAATCAATTAATTAATCGTTTTACTGCAGGAATACACCGTCACTTTGTCCTTTATGGTCTAATGGAATATCTACGAAGAAGGTAGGCTTTTTTGTTTCAAATTTTCCTATGTAATTTCCTTGAACTTCAAGTAAAGATTCTGGTACTTGAACCACCATTGTTTCTGCATACTCTTATACTTGTTAACTTCTCTTTACAGCTTTGGTCGTCACTTTTCTTCCTCCGATGTACTGCAGCTGTTAGATCGTTTCTACAACTTGGAAATGCTGGTAATTAAAGTGGTATTCAATGATGTTTAATGTTGTCCTTCTGTTGTTGATTTTTTGTTAAAATGGATTTTAAAGTGACTACAAATACAACAATTGTGCTCTTTTGATTTCCTTTGGGCTTCAAATGTCTGAAGACAAACGCAAAATTTGATCGCAGTTCAGAAAATTCTATTTGCGCATTGCAAATAGAGAATTCCCTCCTTTTCTCTTGGTTGAACAGGATAGGAAATGAAAATTTTGGGTTTTTTAAAGTGGAATGATTAAGTAGACAACAAACACATTTGAAAAATGGTCGGTGGGACAATGGAAGTTGTTACAAAACAAAGATTTTTTTTTTTCTTTCCTTTTCCATGCGTGCATCAGATACTTAAAAAGTTGTTTTTTTTTTGCATCTTAGAGCTGTAAAGATAGAATTTTTATTCTGTGATTTTCTATGCTAACTTTCAGAAACCAGATGATGAGGAGACAGAAATCCTGAATCAGGAAGAAGATTTTAGCTTGCCGCAAAGTTATTTTGTAAAGGAAGAGCCTTGACTAACAAAACTTTGGTATACATACAAGTTCCGTTTGAAGTTGGTTTATTCTCTCTGTAATATACGACAGTCAGTGTTTATCTTGTTCTATGACATTAGTTATTTATTACAAATTTGGAAATATTAATAAATTTTATGCATATAAGGTGCAAAATTTTGATGGGAATTCAAAATCTCCAGGTGAGGGTTCTGTAACGTTTTTAAAGAAGAAAGAACTTTTTTTTTCCTGCTTCCACTGAGGGTTTGAAATTTTGAATCCCTCAATCTCTCCTTTGGGGAGGTGGAATACATACACTCATTCACTCAAGACAAGACTTTGGTAAAAAAGGGGGAAAAAAAATGATCACATGCTGTTCATCTTTTTAAAAGTAAAATAGATACGAACGAATTGAGAATTGGTACATGTTGATCTAAGATTTTTAAATGATTAATATATATCATATTCTTAAGGTGATCTCCAAGGAATGCAAGCATCTGAAATCCCTTTTAGTTTTTTTTCAGAGTAATGCTTCTAAGAGAATGCTCTGGTGATGAGTTCTCCATATTGAACCACTGACTGAATTGAAAGATGTATTAAATGATTCATTTGACTGAACTCATAACACTCACGTGCTCCTGCTCTCACTATCATTTTGTTGCTTTTGCGCTGTCACTTTTACACTTGCTCTCACTCTAGCTCAATGAAGCTGCAGCTGAGGTTAATTTCTCCATTGAAGGTTTCTCAATCTCTCTGTTTTCAGAACTTCTGAAGCATAGGCAATTGAAGTTGGATGAAAATGGTATGATGATAGCAATAAGTGTCCCCATCATTTCCATACTCTACTCAATTCAACAAAGCAAGGCATTGTCATAGCGATAAAGAACAACATGGTTGCCTCCACTGTCCCACAAGTCAAGGATTATTGCAGCCAAACAAGTGTCTTGAGTTACTGAGATTGGATTGAATATGCTTGTGCTTATGCAGCATGCTGGAGATGCTGCATAAGCACAATCATGATAAAGATGAACGAGTCCGAGACGTCATCCAGACACAGTACATGAGGCTAGCCTCTTTGCTATGACCTAGACACAGTACATGAGGCTCGTCTATTTGCTATGACCTAACCATGCCGGAAAAGAATCAACGGATTCGGATATACTCCTTTGATTCAGAGATACTCCAGTGAATCACTCGCAGCTGCTTGTTCGAGAAGCAGCCTCCAGTTAACGACCCAATTCTAACTCACCTCATTAAGCACACAAACACTCTGAAAGTATAAATAAACCAAGCTAAACTAAACTAGTTCAAGTAGAAGAAATTTTCTCATTGTCTTGAGTAAAAATTCACCGGAGCTTGGTCAGAACAGCTTTTATGTTGCCTTGGCTCAATATGTTTTGATTGCTTCGCGTGTTACCATTATTAACTCACTTCCTTAGTTTGTGTGTAGTGAAATAAAATTGGGAAAATTACTTGGTTTTAGTATATTTTAAAGAGAGCACCAGTTGAGCTTCAGCTACAAACAAATGCAATGTTCTCATCCGTGGCTTTATAAAGATATATTAAATAAGAAAGGGTTACACTAATAAAATGAGGACAATCTGGAGATTTAACAAATACAACGATTGTGTTTTATTAAAGTTAATCCCTTTTTAAATACATATTCAATTTCTGGTGCATCTGTCCCCATATACATATATATATATATATATATATATATATATATATATTTAAAGTTAATCCCTTTTTAAATACATATTCAATTTCTGGTGCATCTGTCCCCATATATATATATATATATATATATATATATATATATATATATATATATATATTATGTGTTTTTGTGTGTGCATGGAGCCATTGCATATAACATAATCATATTGGAAAACAACAGCTAAACCACTCAGAAACGCAGGTTGCTGATAGAAGAATACTATGTAAAAGGCAATACAAAGAAAAAACAAGCCATTACCATGTAAAGCTGAGAAAAATAAAACTATATTTGTTGCTCCAATAGCAAGTTCATAAGAACATGAAGCGATAAACGCAGAAGCAAAGGCGAGATGAACAAAGAAAAACAAATTGGAAAGAAAAATCAGATAGATCAGTCAAACAGTCTCATCGTCATCCGGCTTTGGATGGTCCAAAAACATAAATTCATTGGAAGAGGACTATACTGTACCAAGCAATCCCTCGTGAGAAAACTAGAAAAAAAGAGCCCACTTTTGCCAAGTACTATATCTGGGATTGCCTTCTGCATTGGTCGTTGAGACACCGTCAATGCTGCAAATAAGTTTTAAGTTTAGATTTTCAACAGAAGCAAATGTGGGAAATCAGTATTTGAATGAAAATGGGACCAACAAGATCAAGTGAACACTAACCTCAGCTTCATCTGCTTTGGATTCTTCACCTTTAGTGCTTTCTTCACCTGCAAAGGAACATTTATATCTCAGCTAACTTTCATTTACATTTATGAATATGTTAGAAATTAAACAGAAAGATTTCAAAAGTCTTGGTGATCTTGGAAGGAAATTCGGGGTCTGCTTGGATGTGTTTTTCAAAAACTGAGTTACAAAAGGAGTTTTTAGAGAACTGCAATATGTAGTCATGAGAGTTTTCAAAACACGGGCTGAAAAAAATGGAAAAGAGCTTTTCATTTAAAGACACAGAGCTACAATTTATTATCCATATCTCGTTTTATAACATAAGCCCACCCACCTTGTATACACACGCCGCACACTAGGTTTCTCTCTCTCTAGATTTCTTCATGCCATAGAGACGGAACAAGATCACGATCAGTCTGTTGAGGTAAAACTCTCTCTCTCCCCTTCTAAGATTCACAAATCCGTTGAATCATTGTCGTTTTTCAAGTTCATGGGTTTCTTTGGTTGTCTCATACCCTCCGATTTGGGTTGAGGTTTGACTCTTTGATTTGGTTGGATGGATTTGTCTGGTAGGGTTTGATTTGGTTGGTTGGATTTGGTTTCAAGTTCATGGGTTTCATATGCTATCTTTGTTTACACATGAGTGGGGTCAATATAATCGTCTTCTTCTGATGAATAATAGTATGATGAAGCTAACTCGGTCTCATTCACCGAGTTGATGATCAAAGGATTGTATCCACTCCTGTATAAACATATAAATTCCATGAACTTGAATCAATTCCAACCCATCCAACCAAAGTGAAAAATCAAACCTCAACCCAAGACAACCGAAGAAAACCCATGAACTTGAAAAACGACAATGATTCAACAGTTCGATGGCATATATAACAGTTTCACAAACTGTGAATCTTGGAAAGAGAGAGTTTTACCTGAACAGAGAGACAATAGTGGTCTAAGCATAGAGAAGAAACTCAAATCTTGTTTTGTATCTAAGAGATAGTGATTGAAGAGATATGGTTTACATTACAAATGAGACGGGGAAAATAAACGTAGCTCTGTGTTTTAAATGAAAAACTTTTGAAAACTCTCAGAACTACGAATATGTAGTTCTCTAAAAACTCAACTCTTGTAACTCAATTTTTGAAAAACTGTTCTTGAAAAACACATTGAATCACCCAAAAGAGTTCTTTTAGTTTTTTGTCACTCAAAAAATAGAAAACTGTTTTCTGAGCGACAAACCAAACAGGCCTCAATTTATTTCCAATTCTTCTTCTTACTGCCGAAGTATCGGAATGGTGGCAATGCTGCATTCTACACCTAGTAAATTATCCTTGCATCAACATGCAACTCACATTTTCTCGTCTCATTTATCATGTTTTGGACACAATCTTTAGTAATTAGTAAAACCTATATTTGGAAATGATTTTTAATGTACTAAATCCTATCCAGTGCACCCCTTCAGTCCACACCCAAAAAAAAAAAAAAAAAAAAAAGGTTTTCTACATATGCATAGTACAAAGCACGATTTTTATCAGTTGTAGCAAAGAAAGAAACTTAATAGAAGTAGATATGCCTAGCTACTTTATACCATGAATAAAGGATCTAATTGATAGAGGAAGCACCGTAAAGACCAACTAACAAGGTTTGGAGCTGATACAATAATAAAAAATTGCTTGCTTGTGTCATGATATGAAATAAAAGTTAGGAATCAACTTATGTATTAGACTTGACCACTAAGGTATTAAGCATCAGTGTAGGATCAGATCCGAAAGACAGTAAGTTTTTTTCTTTTTTTATGAACGGATTCTCTTCAAAGATTCTATATAAATTTCAATATTAAACTGAGATGCAGAAAATTCTAACAATAGGGGGAAATACCTATGCTTTATTCTTATGAAGGTGGGAGATAAGATAAAACTATACTGATGATTTAAGTTTGAAACTCATGTAATCAACTAATTTTGGCTTACCCAAAAAATGGAATTGATTAACGACAAATCCCATTAGTTAGATATGGAAGATTAAAATGGGACACTGAAGGAACTGGCTGTTGAAGCTGTATGAGGTATGAAGCACTCAAGTATGGTTTTGAGGGAACGAATTGACCTGCCTATTCTGACCGGGGGAAAAAGTCCATTCGACAGGGAGATTTTGAAACAAGCTATAGCACTTCCTCCAGGTAATTATATTGAAGCACATAACTGGTAAAAGATCACAAGGTTTCCAAATAAAAGACCGCTATTTATTTATTTATGAATTATATTTAGAATTTTATATATTTGTTATATTATAATTAATTGTTAGTTGGTCCTCATTCTTTTAAGAACAATAAAAAAAATTCACTATTCTAAGATCATTTGGTATTTCGTAGGGATGGGATAGAGGATACACAAATAGAACATAAAATCTATTTCTATATTTTTTTCTCTTTCCTTTTTTGTTATTAAAACTACTAAAAGAGACCTTCAAATGACTAAATATAGATACCGGGATATCTCTTAGTAATGACTAATAATTGCTTGCATGATTTGGAATACAGTAATAGTAATATGTTCTATGTAAAACCTGAAGCAGCTCTATCTAATTACTTCTAATTGAGATATGAATAAGTTGCACAAACAAAAAAGTCATTTTTGTCTCCCGAGTGCACTGGAGAGGATAAAGGTTTGATTTTTAATAATCGTGGAATATTGCCAAAATTCCTATTTTTTGTTGTATTGCATGTGTTCTGTTAGATGTGGATTAGTTTGAGGGCTGAAATCCAAAACCGGTCACTCCAAACCCATGAATCTACAATCCCACCTAATCTATTTTGCTTTCTATTACACAATACCTCCATCTTCAGGCAAATCAGAGGTCCAGAGAGTGAGGTTGTCTCTCAATAGCTGCATAATCAGGGTGCTGTCCTTGTATGACTCCTCACTCAAAGTGTCCAACTCTGCAATTGCCTCGTCAAAAGCTTGTTTAGCCAAATGGCAAGCCCTGCATGGTCAACAAACAAAATAAATCATCAAGTGTTATGACAAAATTAAAATGAGAATGTTGCAAAGACTTCAACAAGTGACACCAACTATATAGGTATTACCTCTCAGGAGAATTCATTATCTCGTAGTAAAAGACAGAGAAGTTAAGAGCAAGGCCGAGACGGATTGGGTGTGTTGAAGGGAGATCTGTATTTGCAGTGGCAGATGCAGCCTAACAGAAAATTAGCAAAAAGGAGGAATCAAATGAACGTAAACAAGGTTTATGTCAAGAAGCAATGATTCACTATGCATATCTATGTATGCGATCTCAAGATATCGAAAGATATGAACATGCCTCATAGCCCTTTAATGATTGTTCAGCAGCCTCTTTCCTTTCCTGATCAGTTTTAAATTCAGCAAGATAACGGTAGTAGTCACCTTTCCTGAATTCGATGTGAACCAGAACACTAAGAATTATAAACTTTAAAAAGAGAGTACATAAATAGGAAAAATTGAGTCCAAACACCCCACCATTGCAAGAAAAAAAAAATGTTGGAGGGAGTCAAAAGAAAAGCCAGCATGTGCACCTCTTGTGTAAAGGAGGTATAAAAAAACAAATTACATTCATTGTCACCTTGAATGTGGGACAGTGGACAAATCAAACACCATTTGTGTAACAGAAGCATGAAAAGTAACTTCTCATATCCATAAAAAACTATTCTGTTGTATGATATTTTTAGAATGTATTCAATATGATCTGAAGTTAATTTATTATTTTCCACAAGATAAAAGAGGATAGAAATCATCATATCAACATGAAGTAACTGCTACAGAATAACTCATATTAAAGAAGCACCAAAATAATTGGATTACAACCTCAGGTCTGACTTGACTCACATCTTATAGTAGAAAACAGTAGCTTCTCCTGAGCCAGAAGAGGGGATCAGGTGCTTGTCTATGATAGTAAGAATGTCAGTGCAAATCTTGGAAAGTTCCTCCTCTACCTTCTGGCGGTAACCCTTAATCAGCTTAACATTGTTCTCATTCCCCTTAGACTCTTCCTTCTGCTCAATTGATGACATAATACGCCAAGATGCTCTCCGGGCACCTATAACATTCTTGTACCCCACAGACAGCAGGTTCCTCTCCTCCACAGTCAGCTCAACATCAAGTTTTGCAATGTTTTTCATACTCTCAACCATTTCTGTGTCAACAACGAAATATATAGTTTCAAAGGAAGGTCCCTATTATGAGAACACTTTGCAGCATAAAATAACTTTTAATTTCTGATCCACATAGACTTCCTCCTCTATATAGCCATTGTGATTTTATATTATGACAAATCCAGAACCATTACATGTATTAACACACGCAAGCACGGACAAAGAAAACTGGTATTTGGAGTAAAAGCTATAAAGCTGTTTACCAATAAAAAATTAAAAAAATTCTCAACCAAACGAAACATCAACCAAAAAACAAAATTCATTAGGACAATGAAATTACCACATATATGAGTATGCAGAAGGCTGTTAACCCAATAAATAAGAGGTAAATTGCATAACAAACGATCCATAATAAAACATGGCAGCTCTGGGGGTTGTTAGGAAGGGAATTGCAGTAACTAAAGTTTAGAGTGCTTTCAGTGCCCTCGGAAACTGTTTTAAGTGCATCTTCCCCCAAGGCAAGTAAAAGGCATTAGCAGGCAGCTAAAGGAATTAACATCTAACCGAGTGAATTCAGCTAAGGGGATAGAAATGAGCAAGTGGCAAAAACATAACCGTGTATATATATGTGTGTGCGTGTATTTCTTGTCAAGTAGGCAAAAACATAACCAGAATAAACTTGAAAAAACATAGCAAGTGGGGAAAAAGACACTAATGTCCATCTCCATTGAGCTTCCTCAAATGAACTGCAAGCATCAAATCTCAATAAAAGATCACTTTCCATATGATACCCAATAAACTCAAACAGAAAAATCCAAACTTCAAGATATCCAATATTCCACCCACAACAAAATCAACACTACAGGACATATACAATCTTCCCCCTTAAGCAAATCGATCTTATATACAGAACCCTTATCGAACACTAAATTCAATCAATTTTGCAACAGCATTTCCAAATAATACAAACATCATCAAATCAAAGAAACAGACATAGCTAAATCCATCAATCAGCATCCTAAGTCCCCACCTTACTACACATACATACAGATCGAAACACAATGATTAAGCAGTAAACAAATTGGTCCATATCAAATCAGCTTCAAACTATAATATATACTAATATACATATATAGATATATATAGACTGATAAACAGAAATATAGATATGGTAAAAGAAAAGGAAATGAGGATCAAAGGTTACACACCATCGTAACGCTCGGCCTGTTCGGCGAGCTTGGCCATGTAAACATGAGTCTCTCTCTCCTTTTCCGTCGACATTGTTGCTGGCAATGAGAGAGATCGAAGAAATCAACGAAGGGGAACACGAAGAGTTGAAGAATTTTAGAGAGAGAAAGAGAAAGAGAGAAGAGAGAGAAATTAAGAACGAAACGCGAGGAGCGGGGACGTTTATATGGTAAAGAAAGAGGTGTTAAATATCGAGGAAGTTGGGGGACGAAGACCCATCTGGACCGTCGGATGATGTGAATTGGAGTTTGATACTCCATTGAGCGCGCGAAGAGGCAAACTAATGTCTATTGTGAGAGGTGGATTCGTTCAAACCTGTCTTTCGGAGCGGGTCGGGTGAGAATTCTGTGTCTTCCTAGGGGTCTCGGGTGTAATTTCAATTTTTTGATTGGGAATCCTTTAAATAAGAATAAAAAGTTTGTTTTTTAAATTAAAAAAAAAATCAATTTGACTATTTGAAGATGAGGTAAGCTTCTCTTTTTCTTTTTTTTTTTTCTTTTTTTATTTATTTTAAAAAAAGAGTAAATTATGAATTGACTTTTATAAAAAATAAGGATAAAACATGAGATAAATTTCACTTTATCTTTCTTTCCTTTTAATTTCTTAATTAAAAATTTTATAAAAAATAAGAATAAAATATGCTCTAATTTCACTCTATCTTCTTTCTTTTTAATTTCTTAATAATTCCACTCATGAAATACCACCATGATCCATGAGTTATGGTCGGATGATACTTTTTAAAATTCCAAAATAAATGGTTAAAGGTTTAATTTGTCAGGGAAAAAAAATTCACAGAGAATAACCAAGTTGGCATAGAATGTTGAGTATATGTGTATCTATTGGATGTTGTGTTTAACTTTTAATTACTTTTATTGTACAAATAAGGCAACTAGGCTATTTATTTATTTATCATTAACCTAGCTCTCCCATCAAATCTTACGTTAGATGTTCAATTCATTTATGTTAGTCAATTAATTCAGTTGTAGAATTTATTCAATCCTTCACATGAGTTTGGATTTGACACCGTTGTGCTGGGTTGTAATTATTTTAATCTAAAATGACGCATTTATTAAATGTGTTGAATTTCTATTTTACCGGTTAATCTGATTGATATGATATGACATGGATCCCACAATTCTATACTTTGAGATTTTAAAATCTTTTTATTTATTTTTTATTTCAAAGTATTCATGGTTTTTGGATAATAGTTCACACGTACCGGTTGTAATATTGACCGCGGTTACAATATAACACGTTCGGATAAACCAACTGTGAAAATATACAACAGTATTGGACCGTTGAAAGAAAAAAGTTATATACCTCGCGTATGATGTATGATGATACCGCCAACCATGTATTAAAATGACACTGTTCGTGCTCATTTTTTGACCCTGTACCCTAAAATTTAGGCCGCGTACATAATTTATATACACGGCCTAAATTTGTAACATCTAATGCCACCAGCCCCACTCATCATTCTCCTTCCAAATGAATATCGGAGCAAGACTAATCGCAATCCCTAGACGCTCCATAAACCTCATATCTCACCAATTCAGAGCCTTAACCACTGATTCAGGCCTCTCCGAACGCCCCAACCCCATCACACCCGTCAACCCAACTCACCTCCTCCGAGTCTGCACCATCCTCTACCAACAACAGGACGCGTCCGACCCAAAACTCCACAACGCACTCAAACGCTCCGAGTTCCAACTCACCCACGAGTTCTTCCTCCAAGTCTGCAACAAATTCCCATTTTCATGGCGACCCATTTACAGGTTCTACCAATTCACCCAAGCACAGCCCCATTTCAACCACACATCACTCACCTTCAACAAGATGGTCGACTGTATAGGGAAATCAAGAAACATCGATCTCTTCTGGGAACTTCTTCAAGATATGGGACGACGTCGTATTGTCAACGATAAGACATTTAGAATTGCTCTTAAGACATTGGCTTCTGCGCGAGAATTGAAGAAATGTATTGATTTTTTTCATAAGATGAATGATTATGGGTGTTGTTATAGTGTAGAGACTTTGAATAAGGTGATTGAGACTTTGTGTGGGTCTAAGCTTGTTGATGAAGCCCAACACATAGTTACCAAGTTGAAAGAATGCGTTAAGCCAAATGGGGTTACTTATAAGTACTTGATTTTTGGGTTATGTGAAGTGGGTGATTTGATTGAGGCTTCTAAAGTTTGGAATTTGATGGCTGATGAAGGGTTTGAGGCCGATGTTGAGACGGTTGAGAAAATGATGGACACTCTTTTCAAGACTAATCAATTCGATGAAGCATTGAAGCTTTTTCAATCAATGAGGACCAAAAGGATTGATGATTTGGGTTTATCAACGTACCGGCTTGTGATCAATTGGATGTGTAAAAAAAATAAGCTTGCGCAAGCCTATTTGATGTTCGAAGAAATGCAGAAGAGAGGGATTGAAGCGGATAATTTGACATTGGCGTCTCTAATTTATGGGCTATTGACAAAGGCTAGAGTTAGAGAGGCTTATAAGATTGTGGAAGGGATTGAGAAACCAGATATAAGTGTGTATCATGGATTGATCAAGGGGCTTTTGAAGTTGAGAAGGGCAAGTGAAGCAACACAAGTGTTTCGAGAGATGATAAAGAGAGGTTGTGAGCCTACAATGCATACATATATAATGTTACTGCAAGGGCATCTAGGGAAGAGAGGGAGGAAGGGACCAGACCCACTAGTGAATTTTGACAGCATTTTTGTTGGCGGTTTAGTGAAGGCGGGGAAGTCTTTAGAAGCAACAAAGTATGTGGAGAGAGTGATGAATAGAGGACTTGAGGTTCCTAGGTTTGATTACAATAGATTTTTGCATTATTATTCAAACGAAGAAGGGGTGATTATGTTTGAGGAGGTGGCGAAGAAATTGAGAGAGGTTGGGTTGTTTGATTTAGCAGACATATTAGCCAGATATGGGGAGAAAATGGCAACTAGAGATAGGAGGAGAAACAGGGCATTGAACCTCTCCCATGAAGATGGGCATAACTCAGGTGATAATTCTTGTTTCATTAATTCCCTTTCTTTGTTTGATTATTTCTTGAAGTAACATGTGTTTATTGTTTATATATTGGCTGTTAAGGTCCAAACATTTAGAAGAGTAGTAGTAAAGAGTTCACTAGTGGTGGAGTTGGTAAAAGATCGAACAGCTCAGAAGATAAAGTTTTCTCGGATGCTGTGCTGAATTTTCAGATAGTGGGTTTCATTCAGGATTTGAAGGGCGTTTGGAGGGTGTTAGAGAATTGGATAAGAATGTGGAAAAGATTGTGGATGGTGATCTTGATAGCAGCCAATCACTAAAGGTCAATGCAAATGCTGGTAAGCATTTAATGAGATTAGATAATTCTTTGATGCTAGCTACTTGTTGGGTAGTGTAATTATGGCCCATTGTTGGTTGCTTAAAAGATTTTGCTTAAGTAAATTTGTTGCTGTTTTACTTTTACAGTGGAATGTACTACAGAAATAATGAAATAGAATTACCATTGTAGAACTGTGGTTATCTAAATTTGTTGGCATAAATGAATTGATGACATAAAAATGGGGTTTAACAAAACCTTCTCTTATCTGATTTGTTTCCTTTAGATATTCTCTTCAGTTGAGTTGTTATGAGAACTACAACTACCGAAGCATCTCACTTTTGTAATTTGAACATGCAACTGTGGTGATCAATTTTGAAGAAGTGTTTGCTATGAAATCAGCGGGGAAAGGGTGGAATGGTGATAAATTGATAATTAAATGAACTAGTTAAGCGAATCTTTCCAAATAGGATTTACAAAGTAAATTTGATTGATAGGACAGAAGTTTTGGAATTAGTAAAGTATGTTTGAGTGTGGACGTGGAGCTTGATGAGCTGAAAGACAGATAGACAGATTGAGAGGAGCATGCGTTAGGATACCCAAACATGGACTTTGAAAGTGGCAAAGTAAGGGAAATGTTTAGATGGTTAGGCTTATTGATAAAATCTTTTCGATGGTGTCTACCAGGACTAGTGCTTTTAGACGGATACACTTTTCTTGAAGGTGAAGGGAAAAGACAAAAGGGGCATGGAAGATTTTTCTGCATAAGATCTGAATTTGATTAGATAAATGGAAGATATGGCTCTAGAAAGAGTAGAATGGAGAAAGGTTATCTGTCAACTCAGCTAAAATTAAATTGATGAGGCTCGAAAGATTATAAAATAAGTTATCATATTACACTATGGTGGATATTGTTATAAAAACATGTCTAGAAGCCTTGTATTTTGGTTATTTGTCAGTGACAAGAACTATTTGAAGGGCTTCGGTAGATGTGATCAGATGAATATGACATAGCTTGAAGGAGAATTAATATGGTCAAAACTTCTCCTATATATCCTATAAAGAGTTTTTTTTTTCGTAGAGTCGTCATCATTAGATTATAGCTCTTCACTGTGTTGAGTCTGATATGTTTACTTACTTACACACACAGCCCACACACAATCGAATGTGTGCAAAGTTTGCAATGTGCAAACTAAGTTTTAATTTCCATAAAAATCTTGTCAGCTAAGTAGGTGGAGTATATTGACATTAGTATCATGAAACGAACTAGTCCTCAGACTTCTACCTTGAAGAGATAAAAGGGCCTCCTTTAAGCATCTTGCTCCTTTAATCGATCTCTATTTTGGACTCCTCGTGGATGAACTATATTCAGCTTCGATGGTTCTAGTTTTTAGAAACTCTGGTTCTAATGGTGTAGCTGTTATTTTCAGAAGATTAAAGGGTAATGTTATCTATACTTTCTCCATTCACTTTTGATGGTTCTATTTTTTTAGAAACTCAGGTTCTAATGGTGTAGGTGTTATTTTCAGAAGATCCGAGGGTAATGCGAAATATACTTCCTCCATGCCATATAATTGTGTAGATCCGCATGATTTGGTGAGTTTTAGAATGCGAACAGTCAAAGTTGTTAGGATATTCTTATTGCAGGATACTCATCCAATGTCATATTCTGGTTAGTCAAGATTGACATAGAATTCCTGGGCTATGCAATATGATAACGATCTTGGACCTTGTCAAGGAGTTTGGTGGTAACTGTTCTTGGACTCACTATGGCAAGGCAGACTATTAGCCAGAGAGGAGGTTTATGGTGCTTTTTTGCCTCTTAGAGTTGCTGAGAGCTCTTTTTCTCTGTTTATTTGAAGCAACATATTACATTAAATGTTTCACTGAGTTACAAGGATATGGACAATAAGCCAAGGGATACTGCGTATTACGAAAAAGAAACAAAAGAAACTCCCAACCGCTACAGGACCTTACAAAACCATCCCTAGGCACCCACTAGGTTACTAGAACTGTAGAACAATGCATAGGGACTCTAGTTTTCTTGATGTTAGTTTCTTCCATCTATTTACTGTTGAACTACTTTCCTCTACTTGGTGTGCTTTTCTTTTTTCCTCTACTTGGTGTGCTTTTCTTTTTTCCTCTTCTTGCTAATAGTATTACCATTTTTCATTATAAAAGAAAAAAAAAAATGTCGTGAATCCTTTTTAGTATTCTCTTGTAGCCGGATATATAAGGCCAAATCTTGTTTACCAGGGTAGTGAATCCTTTTTAGTATTCTCTTGTAGTAAGGACGTTTAGGATTTGGAGTGTGATAACGAGAGACACTGAAAATCACAAGAAAGAGAGTGAGAGCTAGGGTTTGGGGGTTGAAACTTGTAATATTCTGTTTTTCGCATTGTGAAATCTTTCGTCGGATCTTCACTGGGGACGTAGGCTTAGACTTAAGTTGAACCACGTAAATCCTTGTGTGGTGGTGTTTACTTTTCTTTCGTGATTCATGATTCGTTTGTCATAAAAATACCGTATTTGGGTAGTGAAGAATCCACTTGTTTTGAAATTGAGTATAGCCAACATGAGTATGGAGTGGCATAACAAGCAAAAGTTAAGATAATAGTGCTTGTGAGAAGTTATACTTCCAATTAAGGAAATGAGGAGGAAAAGTTATCTGCAATGTCTTGAACACATGGATAGGGGGGAGTGCCTTACTAAGAGAGGACAAACAATTGTAGTCTAAAGCAAGAGAGAGAAATAAACGAAGAAGGAAAAGAATAACAGAATAAGGAGAAAAAAGAGCAAACAACCGTCGTTGCTATAGAGTCTAGCCACCCTTTATATAGAGTCTCCTAGCAATCCTACTATAATTGACTTTATTACAATGAAGGAAAGTTACTAAAAAACAGAAAATTACATAAAATCAAGAAGTTTCCAAAAATCAGAACATGGATAGTTTCCAAAAATCACAAAGTTGATAAAATATAGTAAGGACGTGATGGTTTTGAGTTAACAGTGGATATGGATAAGTAAATGGCTGATGAAAAGGCTGTGTAGCCAACCCGAGTATTCGGGATTTGAGGCTTTATTGATCTAAATTGAGTATTATTGATATTATACAAATGATTTTAGAATTCTGTGTCTTTTGTGGATAGCTTGAGGCTATTGTTTTTGGCTTGTGCAGTTGTTCTGAGCCATGCTACCCTTTTCGGCAATTTTCAATGAAATTATACTTATTAAAAAAAAAAAAAAATTTGGAATCCTGTCGGGAACAATGAATGCAAAAAAAATCTGCAATTCTTTGTGGTGCTCAATTTAAATGCAGAAACCATTTGAAAGAATTCGTGGAAATAACATTAACAAATTTATGAAACTGGACTGTTCAAGTTCAACATTTAATTTGAACTGTGTTTGATTCATAGGATTCTTCTTTGACCTCAATACATTGAACCTTATGATGAGGAGGGATTACCATCCTCTCGCCATTCAAACTTCTATATCTAGGAATTACATGTTGATAATTTTCTAATTTTTTTTTCTCAAATATTCCTTCAACCCTAGGCTATGGTGAAGTAACTGAATCTCTTGATGATGGTTAATAAAGATACTGTTTATGAGAGTGATTCCAGTTCTTATTCATGTAAGCCGGGTGAACGCTTCAACATCTCTTCTGCAGATATGAATGCTTTGGAAGAGGACCCTAAACAGGAAGGTGGAGGTAACCAGCACACAATTGAAGTGCATGTTGAAGGTGAAGCTGATATTTTGAAAGTAAAAGTCATGAGCAGTGACGACATTGGATCCAGTGGTGTAGAAGACCCTCTAGGTAGGACTGAAGCAGGGAAAATTCAAACAAATCAGTCTTTAAGGACTGCACCCTCAAAAATCTGAGAATGATTCATCAAGGAATATTCTTTTAGAATTCAACTAAACAGATCCCTCTGATATGATTCATATGGTAGCTCCCGTGGATGGAACCAACTTAAGTGGAGGTGACAATGCTGACGATCATGAAACAGATAAAATTGAGAAGTGTGATACAGATGGAAACCAAAGCAATGAAGGAGTTGTAGAGAAAAACTTCCGGCAAGCGGGAAGACACCCCCTGAATTTCTGGACAATATATTGACATCAGGAGCTGATCAAATATTCTGCTCACTTGGGCAAGATGGAAATGGCGGTCGTGAAATGGCTGGAAATGAATTTTCTGATATTGCTGCGAGTGGAAGCAGAAAGGAAATTGCAGAGGGAAAATGTGCAATGAATGCAAAAACGAGCCTTGAATCTGAAAGCCAATTCTCTGAATCCCGAGTTGTTACAGATAATGGAGTGGCTAAAATTGCAAGGAACTTACGAGAAACTGAAGCTAATTATTGAGATAGAGTTTAAGATTCAAGTAAAGATGGTATTGGTACAACTTACTTGGGAAATATAATGTGGGCTCATTCCAATTCATGAAATTGCCTGGATGAAGATAATGAAGAAGCCATAAAGAAAGTATAGCTGCTGAATTAAATCGTGCTTATGATGTTGAAGTACTACACAGAAATTCAAGGTACTTCAAGTTGAAAGGACCAGAAACTTTGCCTGTAGATTCTGAATTCATTACTAAAAGTTCTGACAACGTTGAAGATAATCAGGGCTGGAACACTGGTGGGGGTGTTTCTGGTGTTAGATTTGTGATCTTTTGGGAGATGGTGACAACAACCTCACCAAGCAACATGTTCGTGTTTCTGCAGTTTATCTCATTAGTATGTTCTATTTGTATGTTCTTATGTTCTTCAGTTAATTAGGGGTAATGCAACTTCTTGATGCCTGGGCTTTATTTTCAAAACCCAACCCATAAAGAAGCATAAAAAACTTGAACACTTATATAAATAATTCTTGTTTGAAACCCAACCCATAAGAAGCATAAAGAAATCTGGCAGACTATTAGACCAAACCCATATAAATAATTCTTTGGACCCCACTACCACAAATTATGACGTAGGTTCCACTACTTGAGTAGACCTTAGGCGGACACCCCTCCTATGGAGGTCACCAACCTAGACCATGGGCCTCATTGATCACCCATAGATCCCGTCCAGGTAAGAATGTTGTGAGTTATGCTTTCAACTCATTATTAAATAGGCCAGTCTAGATAACTCGCTTTTATGTTTCGTCGATGTGGGACAACAGAAGCAAACATTATACAAGATAGACTAGACAGATAGACCTTTTACTTTGATCTGATACTTGACTCTTGAATGCATATCTGATCATTGTTAGCAATTAGGACAAGTCAGTGAAATTGATGGTTGATGAAGGGTAAATGCATATCTGAATATCTGATCATTGTTCATGTTATCACCCTTTTGTTATTGTCAAATACTAATACAAAAGCAAGCTTAAAAGTTGAATGCATATCTTCTTATCTTTCTTGGTTGGTGCTTCCAAAGTTTGGAAATTGATGGTTGATGAAGGGTTCCAGGCGGATATTGATACAGTTGAAGAAATGATGGAGAGACCCTTTTCAAGACTAATCAATTCCATAGAAGCATTGAAGCTTTTTCAATCAATGAGGACCAAAAGGATTGATGATTTGGGTTTTTATCAATTGGATGTGTAAGCAAAGTAAGCTTGGGCAAAGCTTATTTGGTGTTCGAAGAAATGCACAAGTGAGGGATTGAAGCGGATAATTTGACATTGGAGTTGCTGCCAATAAATGGCCTATTGACAAAGAAATGCACGAGTGTGGAAGGGATTGAGAAACCAGATACAAGGGTGTGTATCATGGATTGATGAAGGGGCTTTTGAAGTTGAAAAGAGCAAGTGAAGCAACACAAGCGTTTCAAGAGATGATAAAGAGAGGTTGTGTGAGCCTACAATGCATACATATAGTATAATGTTACTACACGGGCATCTGCGGAAGAGAGCAAGGAAGGGATCAGACCCACTAGTGAATTTTGACACCATTTTTGTTGGCAGTTTAGTGAAGGCGGAGAAGTCTTTAGAAGCACCAAAGTATGTGGAGAGAGTGATCATTCCAATTCATGAAATTGCCTGGATGAAGATAATGAAGGAGTCATAAAGAAAGGCGAAAAGAATAATGACAGTGAAGTACTAGAGGAAAGTGTTGGTTCAGTTAGTACAGCTGCTGAATTAAATCGCTCTGGTGATGTTGAAGTACTACACACAAATTTGAAAGAACCAGAACCTTTGCCTGTAGATTCTGAATTCATTACTAAAATTTCTGACAATGCTGAAGATAATCAGTACAGGAATGCCGGTGGGGTTGTTTATGGTGTTAGCTCTGATCTTTTGGGAAAAGGTTACAACAACCTCACCAAGCAACATGTTGGTGTTTCTGCAGTGGATATCTCAGTCGATTCATGTAGTCAAACTGATTGTTTGGAAGGTAACTGGGGGTGCGTTTCAGGTACAACCAAATGCTTCTCTACACGAGAAAATAGACTGTGTTTATCTTTTTACCAAAACCGCCTTATTTGCTGAAGGACAGAAGTTTGAATATTTGTTCTTGATTCTCTATAAGCAAGGTTATTTTTTGTGCATGCTGTTCAAAAAGGAGATAAGGAACCCACATCTACTTGCAAAATATCATGACGATCACATTCAATAAATAGCACGCATACACATGAACACCATCAATTTAGATGGTCTAAATTCATTTGAGTCTTTTTGATACTTTCAGCTTAGTTTTATTTATATAGCATTGGCAATCTCAAGTGCAGCTGTGGATTAGTTCCACTAAACAGTAAACACATGAACCCCCCTTCTCCCCTTTTCCCTCCGCACCTGACATCCACACACACGCACAAAGAAAAAGAAAAGAACATCCTTTTCCCTTTAGGTCCGTAATTCATGTCCTCATTGTTCTTTTTGTCCGTTTTGCATAATTACTTTGATCTGATACTTGACTCTTGAAATACATATATTAGCTTCTTATTTGTGTATGGAACATTGTTTTCAATCCAGTCAGATGCACCGGCTGCTGTTGATGCTGAAGCTTTACCATCAATTGATTCCCTAGTGCCAGAACAATCAGAAAAAGGCAACCCAGAAAAGCCAAAGTCTGCTGCCTCCAAGGGACACCATTGCAAAAAATCAGATGCTTTTGAGGCTCGTCATTTTATGATATTGGTTGAATATGAAGCTTTTACAAGCTGGGTGGTTTCGATCTCTTACTAATGTTGTGAATGAGTCACAAGGTAGAAAGAAAAATGAAGAGGTCATCGCCAAGGTAACAAACTGGAGCACTGGGAAACAGCACATGCCTCTGAAAAAACCTATTGGTTGAAGCCAAACCAAAATCACAAGACATGAAACCAAGTCCAACTGTGATTCAGAATGATGAAACTTCAGCAAAGAATAATGAAGTCTCAACCCCGAGGCCGACAACTGTGAATTCAACTTTGCATCAGGCTGCAGGGAAGGAATGGAACTCTCCAGCAACAAGATATCCAATTGACTGTAAGAAAGAAAGGAAAATAAAGGGTAAGCCACACTGGGTTCCATTTGTATGCTGTTCTTCAGTTAATTAGGGGAATGTAACACTTACTTCTATAGAGTCTGGTCACACTCTATACTCTATAGTCACTTGTTTTTATATGCCTTGCTTTAGGGTAAAGTGCATTAAACCCCCTTCAACCATATCTTAATGAGCAAAAAACCCCCCTGAATTTATAAAGTAGCATAAAACCCCCTTGAAGTATGTTGTTTGGTTGCACTTTATCCAATCCGGCAACCGGCCGATGGATTTCTACCATGTGATAGCCCATATTTCTCTAAATGACCATAGAGCCCTTATGGAATGTAAAAAGACCATAATGACCTTTAAAGACATTTGGACCCAACTAGTATCCAAACAAGCCTTAACGTTTTGTCCTTCTTCCTCATCGATCTGTGGAGTATATATCTGCCTATATATGTATACATCTATCTATATATATATGTTGTATGTTTTATAGATTCTTGTGACCGGTCCTTTGGCATTAGAACTGAAACGATCCAAGGTATAAAAGCTTGGATTCATCCCATTTACAGAACAAGAAAAATTCAAAATTACAAAAAAATTAAAAAATCAAAACCCATTTACAGAACAAGAAGCTTGGATTCATCCTTGCCAGCCAGTCCACTCCACCGCCGCATTTGTTCCTCACGGCCGAGCCCTCACCAGTCCATCACCGCCGCTGCACCACCCGCTGTCCATCACAGCCGACATCATCCAAAGCCGAAACCGTCGAGGCCGCCTTCATCCTTTCCACCATCCAAAGCCGAAACCCATAACCATCGGTCCACCACCACCTTCAACCAAAACCATCATCGCTCTCCACCCAAAACCTCCAGAGTCACCATTCTGCCCAACCAATCCACCCTAGCTGGAAAAATGAAATTGATCATGGCTTTACCAAATTTCCCCAAATAATATTCAACCAAAAATAAAATAAAAAATAAAAAAAAATCTCCAAATCATGAACTCTGCAATGGTTTTTGGCTGCCGTCGAACCCAGAAACGGCACTGACGAGGACAGAGGACAGCGGCACAAGGAGTTACTGGTGAGGCGGTGAGGACGCGCTGGGTGTGGCACAAGGAGTTATAGGAGACCATCACCGTCTGCGCCGTCGACAACACTGGGATGTCAGATCTGCTCTTGTCGTTTGCCGCCGTGAAGAGGTCGGCTGTGAAGAGGTCGTCCACCGCTCGGGTCTCTGCCGCCTTTTCTTTTGTTCTTCGCGGGACACGTGGGACATGTTGGTGATCTGGAACGCCGACGAGGACGACGGTTGCTTGCTGTCGGTGTCGCTAGTCAACGACGACATGAACGAGGTGGCGCCATAAATGGCCGGCGAGATCGATGTGCTCCCTCTACTCTCTGTGTCTATATATATATATATATATATATATATATATATATATAGATATATTATATACATATATTTATAATATATACACACAGAAAAATAGAGAGAGGGAGATAGAAACAATATAGTTTTGAATAAGGGTAAAATTGTCTTTTATCTTTTCCGGTGGCCTGAGTGGGCAAATTGCAAAAAAGTGAAAGTTCAGGGGGTTTTTTTTTGTAGTTTAGGGGGGTTAGTAGCAAAACCTCCATAGTTCAGGGGGGTTTAATGCACTTTACCCCTTGCTTTATTATAAGTGCCAACTAAATGCATATTATTTGAAGCAATAAATACCCGGGCAAAACCCATCAAGCCTTTGAAAAAGTTAAAGGCCCAAACATACTAGAATAGCTTGTGCTTTTTGTTTGAAACCCAACCCTTAAGAAGCATAGAGAAAACTGGCAGACTTTGAGACCAAACTCATATAAATAATTCTTGGACTAAAGATTGGGCAGGGTCTCCCCCACTACCACAAATTATGACGTAGGCTCCATTACATGAGTAGAACTTAGCCAGACACCCTTCCTTAGTGTAATGGAGGTCACCAATCTAGACCATAGGCCTTATTTATCGCCCATTGATCCCGTCCAAGTAGAGATGGCAAATTTCTCGTCCTTGCTGGGTCCTCACCGCGCCCCGTTTATAGCGGGGATAGGGACCCTTTTATGTAAAGGGGGATGGGGATAGGGGTAAATTTTGAAAACCCACCGGGGGCGTGCAGGGGTGGGGATGGGGTAAACCCACCCCGACCCGCCCTGATTAAGTGTGAAAGTACTAATATACCCTTACATTTAATAATTTATTATTAAATTAGATTTAGTATATATATGAAAATAAGAAAAATTATATTTTTTTTTAAAAAATAATATATGTTAATCGGGGGCCGGGGATAAGGGGTCGGGGGTGGGGGCGGATATGGGGGTAGTGGTGAAATTTTAAGCGGGGATGGGGATTGAAAAATTCAACGGGATGGGGATGGGGAATGAGACCCCTGCCCCGCCTCGCCCCATTGCCATCCCTATAGAGATATAGGTAAAAACAAAGTCCTGGGGAGGAACATTTACATCATAAACTCATTTTTCATTTCAATTATTACTACTACTAATAATAACAAAATAATGATGGAAAAGAAAAAAATTCACGATCCATAACATGAAAATTTTCAATGGAATTACTTCTCAAAAAGAAAATTTTAAGGGGATCACATATGATCTCACAGTAAAAGTTTTTCATATTAATTTGTATGATTCACTAATTTTGACCATACATTAGTACTGCTGTTTTCAAATTGATAGAAGAACAAAATTGCAGGTAGCAAAGGTGGGTTGTCGAAACAAATTTAAATTAGAGAAAAGAAAGGAACCAAATCTAGACCTAACAAGACTTGCAGAGACACATTTGATAGTGGCTACACTTGTAGCAACCGTGACATTTGCAGCTGGTTTCACCATAGCCGGGGACTATGATGGCGACCAAGGGCCGAAGCAAGGCACAACTGTTTTAACGAGTCAGATAGCTTTCCAATTATTTGTCATGACCGATACTTTTGCTATGGTTTGCTCAGTTAGTGTTGTAATTCTCCACTTGTTTGCATCATTTTACGATGATTGGGACAAGCGTGCTAGCCACTATGCCATTGCGTTGTTTCTCATTATAGCTGCTATGGGAGCAATGGTGGTTGCATTCATGACTGGCTTTTGTGCTGTGTTGGAATTTTCATAGGCAACCATGGTATGCGTCAGCTATTCCCCCCCCCCTTTTTTTAATTATTATTTTTTAATGTATTCAAGAAATGGTGCAGCGGATCCTTGTAATTGAGCGTTAAAAAAGGAAAAAAACAAAACTCCAATCAAACATAAGGTTTGTAACCTTCCAAAGTAGAGACCAGACTCTAATTGTAGGTTGGTAACTAACATGGCGCTTTGAATTGGGTTGTTTGCTCTTCTGGTCGATTTTAACTTGATTAGTAAGTTGAAAATTTTAATCCAATTAATGAACCCAACAACCAACAAGGCCACATCGTTTAGCTCCAGAGGAGGGTCTGTTGTGTTCGACTCCGGGGATTACCTGGAGGTCTTGTGTTCCACTCCGGGAATTACGCAGCCACAAGTCCTGAAATTGAGCTAAAAAAAAAAGAGTTGAAATGTATACTTACTGAAAAATTAAATAGTTATATAATTTACCCAAAAATAAAAAAAAAATAAACGAAAAAGAAGAAGATATATATATATATATATATATATATATATATATTTATTTATTTATCATTTATAAAGTCAGATAACTAATGGAATGTAGGACATGAGTTTGGTTAGAGAATTATGGAATTTTAATAATGCAGCCAAGGTGAACTCACAAGGAGTTCACATTTAGTGGACCTATCAATCAGATATTTACGCAAAGGCTTTTTTAAGCAACAGCATAATATGATCACGGTGGTCAGTCTACCTTTGTGGAAGGCATAGTGTCTTTATACATCTAGTTGAACAAAATTTACTGGACTATTGAATATATAAATATATGTAAAATAATGGAGCAACTTTTAGAGATTAACACAATTTATAAAGTTATCACAACAATCTCTCATAGGATATGCGGGCCTTGTCTACAGTCTAAATTTGATAACAAAAGTCCAAACCCACAACAAGAAGACTGGGCCTTGTTATATAGCCCAACCCATAAACGGTATAGGATAAAAACTGGGTCTTTGACCCACAACCCGAAGACTGGACCTTATTATATAGCTCAAACCATAAACTGGGCCTTGTCTACAGGCTAACACTAACAAAAGTGTATATAAAAGGGTAAATTACACCGACACCCCTTGAGGTTAGGTCATATTTCAGCCAGATGAAGATTTTGGTTTTAACTTTCACTTACACCCAATCATGTGAATTGACCATTTTACCCTCAATTTTTTAATACAAAATATATATAATCTTAAATGACAAAAGAGCCTTTATCCCTACCCCCAAACCACCGCCACCATCTTTGGCTCCATCTATGAACCAATTTGTATACAGCTCCTTCAAGTTTGCCTGCATCCACCACCACCTATCCCAAACCACGGCCACCATCTCCATCCTGACATCCACCACCACATATCTCAAACCACTGCCACCATCCCCACCTCCATCCTCACAACCACCACCATTAACCCATCACCAAAAATCGACCGAGCGAAAAACCCATCCCCAAAACCCATCCTAATCGATCTGCAGCTTTCCTTTCTGGCCACACCTTCCACTATCCCCAAAACCTATCCTCATCGGCGAATCGATTGACGACGTCCACAAATCGTGACCACGGATTCAACGGTGTCCACACAGACCAAGCGGGCGGCGAAGTCGTCAATATCCTCGCCGTCAACGCCAGCATCCTCTCCGACTCTGGCGCCCATTAACGTGAAGATCAGCGATCAACCAAACCGGAAAGCACCCCTACTGTTGGTGATGGTAATCTGACGCGCCGCGTGGGTGAATGCACCAAAATCGTGACGTCCATCACTGCAACTCCGACGGCGACGGTGGCGGCAATTCATGTGATACCCCTCGATTCTAGAACCACGGGTGATCAAGTCCGGGCACAGATCTGAAGGATACCAGACAATCAATATATAAACAAGCAGGAATAAAACAGAATTAAGAATAAAATAATGATATGCTGAAAAGAATTCTAATTGTAAAACCTCCAAAAATAAAAGTTTTAATATAAATTAACTTTCCAATCCGTACAACTCGGGAATCCAACTAGTGGACCCCTAATAATCTCAACTGATAAAACTTTACAGAATAAAATCCAAAACTAAAACCAGAAAGAAAAATCCTATTTAGTCGGAAGAGTGAGTGACTGTATTTGCATCACCACGATCAAACCCTAAGCCTGGTACTCACGAACACCTGAAAAATAAAGGTGGGTCAGGCCCACATGCAAGTTCCATCCTACTACAATCCGTACATAAACCCGATACGCAGATACATCCTAGATAGCTCGGCAATATCTACAATAGTCCATAGATATATAAATACACACTATAGGATGCTCACTAGCCTATAACATAGTTCAGCCTGGGTAGAAGGTGACATATAAAACACGCTTTTCAGCAGCCAAGTACCTAGACCTACCAGGGAACATTAGCTATATCTAGCTACTCAACCTTTGCAATATACGCACTCTAACCGTGATCAGGAGACTCAAGCTCGTATCACGGTACCATAAATATATATATAAATTCTTTCCTAATGCAGAAAAATAAAACAAACATCCGTTATGTCGTTCAACTGTTTTAGTTGACAGGACATGCATCCATGTAGGATTTAACTATTTTAGTTAATCCATTCCGTATGTATGAAAGGGGTAGGACTTAGCTTTTTGATCTAATCCATCCCTGATATGTCACCGTCCCATACCGGTACATATAATGCATATGATCCACACATGATGCACACTCAAAATGAACATCAAGTATATCCAGAACCAACATAATAGAAATCAGATATAGATAAGCTCCTATCATGCATCCAGTATATGATTATATTCATAGAACCTCCTTTTAAATTGTTAAAATAAGAATAAACAATTTAAACCATCCATTTCCATGTAATTGACAGAACAGAAATTAAGACAGTTCAGCAATTATCCTTCATAACATAATATAATGAATATCAGAATTTTAAACTGCACATT